TGACCGTCCTGGTTGACCTTTGTTGCTCGAATAACTGCACGAATTGTATCGTTATCACGAATGGCATCTGATAAACGTTTCATGACAACAACACCGATACCCTCGCCTCTACCATAACCATTGGCTCGAGAGTCGAAAGTGAAGCATTTACCATCAGGGCTTAGGAAATTCAGAGCTGTCATAGGCATCATCGTATTTGGCGTAAGAATCATGCCAGCCCCAGCGGCAATCGCCTAAAAACTTGTCAGAATCGCACGAACAGAAATGGTGGATATTGCACCTACAAGTGATGTCTCTTTTGCCCGGAGGCTCTGCGAGGCAAGGTGAACAGACACAAGACTGCCACTGCAGCCTGTGTCAATAGTCATGCTCGGGCCATGAAGGTTGAAGAAGTGCGAGATTCGATTTGCCATTATGGCAATGCCGTTTCCAGTAGCAGCGTACTGAGGCTGCCAATCAGGATCTCGGAGACAGACTTGCTCGTAATCTAGCAGGATTAGCAAGGAGTTCCGGCAGATATCGAAAATACTTACCTTTGACAAAAGAACCGACGTACACAGCCGCATCGCTGCCGTCGATATCTTCTTTGCGGATTCCCGCTAAAGTTCCATCGTCAGTTTCGACCAGTATAGATAAGCACTTGGTAGACCGACCATTTTCAAGTGCCTCATATGAAGCCTCAAGGAGAATTCGTTGTTGGGGGTCGATAGCTTTGGCATCTTCCGCGGAAATTGAGAAGAACTTGAGGAAAGAGCAATGTTAACCGAGTAACTATAGCAACTACGAGCCACAGGACCGAAACTTACGGAAGCATCAAAAGAAGCAAAATTGCCCTTGATGAAATGAGCTCCTCGGAAAGAAATCTGTTCAAGTTAGGTATATCATTCAGTCATGTTATACCGACCACAAGTATGTTGTCTTTAACTTACACTGCCCTGTCGATCACCACTAGGATGATAGTACCCGTCGATGTTGAGACGGTCTTTGGGGAATTCAGACCACTGAGACTCTCCACGCTCCAAAACTTTCCAAAGTTCTTCTGGGGAAGAGGCATCGCCAGGGAATCGCAGACCAATGCCTACGATGGCAATGTCGTCCTCCATGACGTCCAAAGCACACCTCCAAAGACACAATGCAAAACAAGTCGGTAGCAAAATCTTACTTTATCCTCTCTTTCTTTCAAAAATATCCAGGATGAATCAAGATAGGACGCAGCGGTAAGGGTTTTGTTGGTAGCAAAAATGTCCCTGGTGAAGAAGAGGAAGGGAAGGAAAGACAATTCCAGCAGGTCGATTCTAAGATTCCAAGACTATGAGAATAACTGGATACCATACCCAGTGAATCACTGACTGCCAGTCTGCCAGTGTCAGAGGGATGGATATCTGCCAGTGTACGCAATGCCAAGAATCGGTAAAGAGTTTAGATTTAATGCGGGAAGTCGAGGTAGGTACTTAGCACTGGCAGACAGATACTGAGGTCTTATCGGAATTTCACTCGGAATACACTTAGGCAATGAGAGAGAAAGAAGAGCCTGGAAATGGTCAGGTTCAAAGGATTTTCTAGTGATGATAACTAGATATTATCTATCCTTGTGTTTGTGGCCAGAATGAAAGAAAGGGGGCGGGAATTCATATTTGACTCTCTCCATGGATCAAACAATAGCAACCGGGCCTATATCATCGCCTTGTTGAACTATGTTTCAAGAAGTAAATAGGGCCGATGCCGTCATTGATGCTTTACGCCCCATGCCTTCTAAGGGCCGCCGTCCGTGTCATAGTCGGTGTGAACCATCTGAAGGCATCTTTTTTTATGCCAAGAACTGCAGGAAGGCTTAGATCAAAGATCACCCTCTTGATGTTCTTTGTGTATGATTTTATGATAGTGGGAAAACAGATTGTCAGGTTCCTTGTTGACGGCACTTTGCTCTGGATGGAGGCTTGCTGCAATATCCCGTTAAGTCTAGAAGACAACGTGCTTCTTTCAATCGGTCTAGAATCTTTACCGCCCTTTCAGATGAACTTCATACAACTCTCTACAAAGTTCTGCTTATTTGACGTGCCGCCTTGCCTATCAAGCTTTGTTCCAATGCTTAACAGGGCATATCTAGAGCAGAATGCGGGAAAGGAACGGATCAGATGCATACTCATGAATTGCTCCGAATAGTTGTTCAAGACAAAGAAGTAAATCATACATTACCTTTGTCTATAAGAGTGCAGTGGGACACCCCAAATCTAGGAACATTGGAACCAGCTTAATGTTCATTGGGTTTCGATGCTCAGACATGAAAACAGGAGTAATGCCAACAAGTCATAAAGAAGGGCGGATTTTACGATGATATTGGCATACAGACTGCCATAAGATGATTATTGGAGCGGGGATTAATACTTACCTACTTAAGGTAGCTTTTTGGCGACTAAGTATTGGTACTGAGGATGTTGGTAGGCCAGGCTCTGGTCCATCGTTCTAGGAGGAGGGTCCGCTGGAAACATAGTTCGAATAGTCAATTCTTCATCATCTGGGCTTCCGCTATGAGAAAATATTCTCTCACGAAGGTAGTTCGCAAGAGGTGCAGCTGCATATCTGACAACATGGCTCTGGATCACTTCGGATGGATCAAGGTAACTGATGCAAGATGACATCCATGGATACGTGTGAAAGGCCGAGAACAGACTGGCAAGATCAATCAACAGAGCAACGAAAATCGATTGGGTGTCCCATTATTACATACGGGAAGCTTACTGTTCCGCAACGGCTACGTGAGGCATGCTATGCCATGCACGGAAGACCGACTGGGGAATAGCCGTTGGTAGCCTCCCGAAGCAGGGACCGGCACTACGTCAGATGGGAGCGTCCCCATAGCGGAAACAACAAGATGATAGGCTATAGTCATAGCTTTTGTCGCAATTTCCGAGTAGAGTTTAGGTTGCGGGAGACTACCATACCTCAGTATCATCACGTGGAACGGCTCGTCAATTTCAAGACGGGTTATCCGTCCCAGAACCAGTAGCCGAACACAGTGTCTTGGACATATTTCTCGCCATCAAGCCATCGTGTTCCTGGATCATCCGATTATCTGGCAAGAGTGTGGAACAAAGTTACACAGGTAGCGCCAGGCGAGCGTCCTTTGGCTGACCAGCTACCTAAAGACTCAACTGTACGACAGCTACCCACCAGTCAAGACTCTTTGGCATACCCAACCATTGCCGATGTTTCCATCAACCTCAGGTTCTTATCTGATACCTAGATTTGTTCGCAAGAAACGTCTTGCCTGAGGATCTTGTGCAAGTGAGAGCGGCTCAGCTGGAACTGAACAACTAAATTCATGCACACAGCTAACACTCTTGCATATGAGCGGTAGATTTATCATGAACAACATGTTATCTCCATATTCTATTTCTGGCTAAGCTTTTAATTCTTGTAGCGTGTATTCCAAATAACACGAGCGAGTTGAGAACCGGCAACTCTTCGTCTAAGTAGCCAAAACTCTGGCCCAGCCACGAGCAGAGAGCCGTGCGATGTGTAACCACCACACAGGCGGGATCCTACAGTTTTACCGAGGTTTCTTCGTTTGGATTATCAAGCGGCGGCTAGAGGATTTCCCGTTATGGATAGAGCAAACATAGCTGTTGACAATGGCCTCCGGTTTGCTTCGTATCAACTCACCCGATGTACCATGTCACGCAGACAGGACTCACACAAAGGCATCTTTGAACTTCTTCACCTTGTGCCTTTCGTTCATATCAGACGCTTGCCCTCAAAGCTTCTTCTTACCAGTGAGACCAATCGGTGGGTCATAGACAACCATGTTTAACATGAGAGCAATGCCCTGGGTATCACAGCACCCGTCATAGCCACTACTTCTAGAACCGTGTGACTGTCAGAAAAGATCTCATGTCCTCCGCAGTTCCAAAATCTTTTGGGTTATTTTCTTCGGTGCAGATGTTTGAGGTTGGCGACGGTGTTGAGTGGCCTCTTGTGGTCTCTTCGCTTGTAGTCGTGTAACGTTTGAGAACCATGTCTCAAATATTAATTCGGTCCTTCGCCTTCTCCGGCAAAGATAGTTACCAAGTGGTATGAATGTTTCAAGAGTATTATGTTTCAAGTCAGGTGTGTTGTCTCTTCGCCTCCAGATTCTCTGCAGATCAACTCGATATGAAAAGCTCCAAACTTTTCCAATCGGATACAACTGAAGATCTTTGAATTTGTGTCAACCTTGCCGACAGATTATCTCATATCTACTAAGTCACGAGAGTCTTTCTTACAAGGAACTTACCAAAATAGAAGGGCTCCTGCTTTGTCAAGACTGGAGGCCGCGCCTTCGCTCGAGGAGACTCTCCAGGCCTTTAGCTGAACTATCTCTTATCTTCACTGCCAATCTTGACTCTTCAAATTCGACATCGGATTACAATCTACATTCAAGCTCTCAAGCGCTCACAAGAAATTGCATCGAAACTCTTGGAGTGTGGGAAAACACCGATAGCAAAGATGGCCAACGAATACCGAATGTCTCTCTCCTATCCAAACCCATCCCTGGGCCAAATAGCAGCAACGGAGAATGACTTGGAAGAGAATGCTCCAATGCCAACGGAGGTTATAGGATTGCGCAAGCATTCAATCACTGGGCCTCGACGAGTAGTTCTTGTCATCTCGTAAGGGAGTTATTGCGTTGGCATATGGAACTTGCTAATTGACATATTCAGGTTGTTGGCTGGGCTGCTCTTTTCCAGCCTCGACACTTCCATCGTCTCGACTTCGCTCGTCACCATCTCGCACGACCTTGACGACTTCACAAACGCGCCTTGGATAGTTCTAGCGTACCTCCTCACATACATGGGTGAGTCTCCTGCAAGATCGTGAACCAAGAGAACATCCATTGACAGGATGCAACAGGATTCGCTGTCTGTGTGTCCAAATTGAGTGACATCTATGGACGGCGCAACATACTCGTGGTATCATGGGTCATTTTCGTTGGCTTTTCACAGGGCTGTGGATCGGCAACTAGTATGACAGCTTTGTATGCCGCCTACTCTGTACTCTGTTCTCAAGCTGACCCCTTTTAGGATCGTATGCCGCGCTTTCCAAGGAATGGGTGCATCTGGTCTGTACAGCTTAACACAGATCGGCCTGGTAGAGGTTGGTCCTTCTCACAGTCCCAGTTTGATAGGGGCTTTGATTGGTGTTACCCTCGCCGTCGCCTTTGTACTGGGTCCCATCGTCGGCGGTGCAGTTTCTCAGCTTTCAGACTGGAGGTGGTTGTTCAACATGAAGTAAGTTTACTGACTGGCACATGCTTGGAGAAATACTGACGACGTCAGCATCCCTTTCGGCTTGGTTGCGATCCTCACAATTACGAATCTCTGGCCGCACGAAGAAGTGTCACACTTCTTCTCATGGAAGGCTTTCACCAGCATCGATTTCCTCGGAAGCGCAACCCTTCTTACCAGTTCAGGCTTTCTAGTGTTCGCTGTCCAACAAGCTGGCTCAGAGACGTTCGCTTGGGGGAGCCCAGAGATCGTCTCTGCTTTGGTCATTTCAGGTGTAAGCTGGCTCGTGTTCGTGTGGTGGGAGGTGCACTTGGAGACAAGGCCATTGCGTAGCATCGAGCCAATTTTCCCGATCCGATTGATGCTTCGAAGAGTATACTCTGCCGGATTACTGTAAGTTGGAAAACAAAGGCACGCCCGTGATCCCAACTGACACCAATTAGCGTTACTCTATTCACCGGGTTTCCTTACATCTCACTTTCCATCGTCATTCCGGAAAGATTTCAAATTGTCAGCCGTGAAGAAGTCCTAACAGCAGGGCTGCATATCCTGCCTATGCTTGGCGCTTGTGCCGTTGGCTCGTTTCTTGGTGGTGCCATTTCGAGCCGGAGAAACAACACGTCCCTAACTCTTCTTGGGGCATCATGCCTACAGCTCCTTGGAGTTGGTCTAATGTCAATGTTGACTGGGCCAGACTCCCACAGTAAAGCCCAGTATGCCTTCCAAGCTATATTCGGGCTTGGCGTCGGTCTCTCCTTTTCTGCCGCAACTATCATGACCAGTATACTCGCCGCTGAACGGAGTGAGCTCGCCTCTGCACAAGGCGCTGTGGCACAGGC